CCCCCCCCCCAGCCTCACCGTCTCCGCTCAGCCCCCACTGCCGCGCAGCTCCCCGCCCGCGCCCCTTTCCGCATCCTGCCCCCCTTTGCCTGCGAGGTTTGCCTCCGGGCAGGTGACCGTCCACCCCCTGTACTCCCACTAGCGCCAGCGTGGGGCGCGTGCCGACAGGGGCGCTCGGGACCGCGTTTGTGCACCCGGGGGCTGCTCCCCGCTCCGAAGTCCCCTCTGGGTGGGGGGCCAGCTCTGATCCCCAACCTCAGCTCGCCGTGGAGTGTAGTCAGCCTCTGGGACCCGTTTCTCCAGGTAACAGGACGATGGTAGTGGGTCTCCACGGGGCTCTGCTTAAGTAGGCTTCGGTCCCCTCTCGGTCCGCACAGTGACACGCGGTCCTCTGTCCCGCCCCTTCCCAGGCCAGGTGGGCGGGCTAGCTTCTCCCGGGTCAGGTCTAGTCCTCCCGGTCCCTGGTCGGGAGAACTCGGGTCTAGGCTGCCCCCACCGCGTCCTCACCTCCACCTCACCCCAGGATGTGACCCGTCCTTCCGGGCCACACTAGCCGGCTGCGCCCGCGGCTCAGAAGAGCTCCTCACGTTCCCTCTTCGCGGCGCTTGGTCTACGCAGTCCTCAGGCGCGGGGCCGCTCAGGGAAGTGCGAGATGCAGCTGGAGCGAGAACGTGAGTTCGAGGCCAGCCAGGAGGAGCTGATCCGGTGACAGGTACGTGAGGGCGCTGGCCAGAAGCCGGGCTGGGAGAGAGGGACTTGGGGCGGGGGAGAGCAGGAGAAAAAGGAGGTGCCGGGGAGAGTGGCGGGTCCCTCTGCGCCTTCCCACCGCGGTCTCGGCCCCGCCAGCTCACAGGCTCTCTCTTTGCCCCAGGCTCCTTCCGGCGCCGGCCCCCAGCACTCGCCCGCCCCTGGGAGAACGCCCTGCGGTCGGGTCGGGCCGCGCCGGCGACATGTGGAACGCCACCTGGGGCGAGGAGCCCGGGCCCAACCTCACGCTGGAGGACGCGGGCTGGGACGCGCCCTGCGGCAACGACTCGCTGGCCAACGAGCTGCAGTCGCTGTTCCCCGCGCCGCTGCTGGCGGGCGTCACGGCCACCTGCGTGGCGCTCTTCGCCGTGGGCGTCGCGGGCAACCTGCTCACCATGCTGGTGGTGTCGCGCTTCCGCGAGCTGCGCACCACGACCAACCTGTACCTGTCCAGCATGGCCTTCTCCGACCTGCTCATCTTCCTGTGCCTGCCGCTGGACCTCGTGCGCCTCTGGCAGTACCGGCCCTGGAACTTCGGGGACCTGCTGTGCAAGCTCTTCCAGTTCGTCAGCGAGAGCTGCACCTACGCCACCGTGCTCTCCATCACAGCGCTCAGCGTCGAGCGCTACTTCGCCATCTGCTTCCCGCTGCGCGCCAAGGTGGTGGTCACCAAGGGCCGGGTCAAGCTGGTCATCCTGGTCATCTGGGCCCTGGCCTTCTGCAGCGCCGGGCCCATCTTCGTGCTGGTCGGCGTGGAGCATGAGAACGGCACCGACCCTCGGGACACCAACGAGTGCCGCGCCACCGAGTTCGCCGTGCGCTCGGGGCTGCTCACCGTCATGGTGTGGGTGTCCAGCGTCTTCTTCTTCCTGCCGGTCTTCTGCCTCACCGTCCTCTACAGCCTCATCGGCAGGAAGCTGTGGCGGAGGCGCGGCGACGCGGTGGGCTCCTCGCTCAGGGACAAGAACCACAAGCAAACCGTGAAGATGCTGGGTGCGTCTTCCGCGCCGCGGGCTCCTCTCCAGCGCTGTCCCCGTCCCTTCTGCGTCCCGGAGTCCGTCGCTCTCTCCCGCTTCTCTCGGCTTCTGCCTGCATCTTTCAGTTCTCTCTCCTCCCCCCCCTCCCCTCTTTCTGTCTTTGGCATCTTAGTTTGTGTTTGTGTTTTCACCTCCTTGTCTCCCCTCTCTACTCCCTTACCTTGTCACTGTCCGACTCAGTCGCTGTCTTTTTGTGCTTTTCTGCCCTCGTCTCCTTACTGTCCTCTAAGTGTCCCACCTTCCCATTACTACAAAGGGAATTTTATGGCTGGCCAGAAATTTGATTCCCAAACTAAGTTATTTTACAAAAGTCTATGGGGTCTTGAAGTGTTAAAAGTGAAGTTACGCTTCCTGCCTCAGGTAGAACCCCGGGTACGGAAGTTACAGCAACGAAAGCAGGCATTAGATCTGGAAATGTTCAGTGGTAACTGTAACCCAAGATGTGATCTGTTTGGGTCATTTTGTTAGAGATGGTCGATTTTTCTTTCAATACTGTGATTTTTTTCTGCCCTGTATTTTTCAGATAATTGCATCAATTTTGTTTGTGCTGTTCTTATTTGTACAGCTTTGAAAGGAAGTCAGTGACAAACCAGTGCTAGGCTCTATTTGTTTTCATGGTTAGCTTTCTGTCCTGGGAGGATGGACTAGCATGAGCTAGGGTAGGCGGGTCTCTAGCAGGAGAAAAGGCATCGCAGACCCTGATAAGACTGACCACCCCTCCCCAGATGACAGGCCCTCCAGGAGCATGCCGGTGCAGCGTCTCCACTGGGATGTGCTCAATATTTATTGCAGGAATTCAGCTTAAGTGTATGCGTTTGCTACGAGCGCAGTAATACAACTCCTGTTCACATTTGAGCAACATGTTAATTTTGCTTTCTGCTTGCATTTTCAAAACCAGGGCCAGTAATTTTATTATTTGGATATCGTGGTCAATTTTTCATACTTACTGGCATATTTAAAGCTTCTTAGAAGCTATTTCAGGATTATTTCATTTTTGCAATTTTACAATCTTGAATCCTGCATCTTAAAGCAATAGAGTTAATTCAAACAATGTCAAAGGGTTTATTTTCTAGACCTGGGATGTGATAGGATGCATAGACCAGTCTGCTGGAGGGGAGGGAACGCTAAGCTCTCACCTCCGAGATTCCTGTCGCCCCTGTGACTGTTCAGTTGCTACCACGCTCTTTAGTTTTGAGGATGAGTTTGGTCATTGCCTCTAGCTTCATTTTTAAGCTGTTGATTTCTTTATTGATATCTCAATACCAACATTAATGTTCTTCCCCGATGATGTGAAAGGAATCACTGAAGTGGTACAAGGCCTGAAGTATTATATTTTTGTTATTTCCCCTCTGACTACTGGGAAAAATGGTCTTGCCTGGGCAGAATGAAGCTGTGGGTGGATGACGATGATGTTAGTTAAACGGTCCTTTATACCTTGCTTAAGTCTATGGTAGGTGGTACACAGCCATCTACTCCAAGGGGTCTTTCCCCTGACTGCCTAAGCTCAGTCCTCTATGAAAAGTAAAAGAAGAGAAAAAGGAGGTGCCCTGGTCTCCTTCCTAGAGATTTTGATTTAGTGGGCCAATAGTATTTTTAAGGAATCTCATTTAAGACATGCCATCAGGGGGTTAGCAGGTGGTATGGGCATTAAGGTGGCTAGATCCCACATGGCCTACTCTGGTTTGAATCCTGGACCCTGAGGCTTGAAAATCAAGTCATGCACGTGTGTGTGTGTCCAAATTCCCAAGAGGAGAACAGAAGAGAAGGGAGTATGGCCTGGCCATCCCCTCTGGGGAGTGATCCATCACTTTTCCTCTCTCTGTCTCTCTTTGATGCTCTTCAGGAAGTACACATTCTCTATGACAGAAATGTAAAAGAAAATAAAATGCTCCCAGAAAACTCTGATGCCCAACCATGCTTCAGTAGAACTACTCTGCTCAGGAATGTTTGTGTAGTGTCTAACACAGACAAAATGGCGGACCATCTTGAGTAAATGGTCTAGAGAGTTGGGCTAATATGTCCATTCAACCACCAGCTCACTCAAGTGGTTTTATAGAAATGAGGGGAAGCTCAGTAAATATTGCTAGACCATTGGTCCAGATAGACTCAATCTCTGTTAAAATGTAGGAATGAAGAAGAGCAGAAAACAGCGTCTTTCTGAAGACAGTGGTCTTACTGTGCATGAGTAAAACAAAAAGAAATCTTGAAAATATAGAAGGTGATTCGCTGTGACGTTTCGTGAACTGACGATCTCTTTCTCGTTGTCCTTTTAGCTGTCGTGGTGTTTGCATTCATCCTCTGCTGGCTGCCTTTCCATGTGGGCCGATATTTATTTTCCAAATCCTTTGAGCCTGGCTCCCTGGAGATCGCTCAGATCAGTCAATACTGCAACCTCGTGTCCTTCGTCCTCTTCTACCTCAGCGCTGCTATCAACCCCATTCTGTACAACATCATGTCCAAGAAGTACCGGGTGGCGGTGTTCAAACTGCTGGGCTTCGAACCCTACTCACAGAGGCAGCTCTCCACGCTGAAGGATGAAAGCTCTCGAGCCTGGACAAAGTCTAGTATGAACACATGACCGAGCACTGCACTGAGCATAGACACCGCTTAGTATTCTAACCCGAAAGCCATAGCACAGCAGAACTCGGGAGAAAACAGAGGGTTCATTTTGCAATTAGGGACACGCAGATCTGGAAACAATTCAGGGGAAAGGAAAGACAGATATATAGGGTACGAGCGGTTTGAACTGACAGCACGGTCTCCCGCGCTGTCACGCTATCCCTGCATAGTCACCGCTTAGGATTTGCGTTCTGTTGGTGGTGCTGGTGAGGGCTTGGCGGTTCGCAGGAGGGAAATACAGAAATGACAGAGGGCCATTAGGGCAAGATTTGGTGGGGTAAATGCAATATCTGATTCACTTTTTCATAATGGTTAAAATTATTTGACTGAAAGAATGACGTTAAAACAAACATTTTTAAAATGAGTTTTTAAAACTAGCAATTTTCATAAAGCTCTAGAGCAGTGCTGTGCAAAGGAAATGCAAAACTTATAGTAATAGAAACATCACTAAGGAGACATTTAAATGCTTTTTTTTCATCGTAAGTCTTTGAAATCTAGTCTGTCTTTTTTTTTTTTAATTTATAATTCATCTCAATTTGGACATCAAGGGGTCATCAACCATAATTGGTGTATTCAGATTTTATAAAATGTACACACGAAAAAGTAGATTTATAGACCAAAGTTGTCTAAACACACTTCAAAGTTTTCCAATCATTACAATAACTGTAAGTGTTCAAACTTAATTAAAATTTACAACTCAGATCTTCAGTTGCACTAGTCACATCTCCAGGGGTCAATATGCTGGGCACTAGAGTATCTAGCAGCAGGCTCTCGAGCAGGTGTGAAATTGACCTAACTTTATGTATGTTTTTAAATAGATACCCTTCCCCTGAAATGGCTTTTATAGTGAAATGAACATAGCAGTATTTTAGAATGAAGCATGCTAAAAATCACACCTGACTGTCCTATTCTTTACGTTTTAAAGAGAATAGACCTGAAACATATATCATGCATTTTTAAATTGAGTTGAATTTGCATGTGTTAATATTCAGGAAATTAAATTCATAAAAAGGCAAGGTAATCATAAACTGCCTTATTTGGCTTAACAAAAGACTTAAGCCAATCGTAAGGCTTTGAGTTATGAATGAAGAAATAATTTATGACTTGCTCTGGAAAACTTACGGGAAATTTAATGAACATAGGAATTTTTCAAACAGTGGAGGTGACATTTTTCAAATGTGAAAAATTTAGACTCCCTTCAATGCTCCTGCTTATTAATATTAAACTTCCAAAAACCTTATAGCCATTTGTTTCAAAATGATTCTGCCATGCTCTGTCTCTGGTTTAGTTTTGCTGTCTACACTCCACTGCTGATGTGACTAAGATGTTTGCCTGGATTTCCATTCTCACTCTTAATCATAACTATGAATGAGCAGACACCTTCAACTAAATAGGTGTATGTTTTGGTTATAAATCTAAAATTTTCATTTATATTAATATTGCGCTCTGTTTAGACAACCTTTCGCAAAGTAAATATAGTATTCCAATAACAACTTTTTACATAATCTTGTGCAATAATAAGTCATATCGTTTTTACATGAAGTTATTGGTTCAACAGTGAAACTGATTGAAGAAAATTATGGATTGTTTTCTCCCACCAAAAGGAAAGATTATCATATTGAAATAATTAACTATTTTGGAGACATCAAAAAAATCAGAATTATTTCTCTGGATAAATATTTCTGAAATACATTCTGACAGTAAAACCGCATTGGATAAGTTGGTTATTCAGTTATTATTTTTCCTTCCAGCTTTTTTTCTAAAGCATATTCATTTCATTCTTAGGTGTGCCACAATATTTTAAAAAAGGATGTTTTTTCATTTATGTCCATGGGATACTGACTAGGATATTTGGCATTATTGTCTTAAACAGTGTCCAGTAAATCTCAATGAGGCAATTCAACTTCTCGAAGTCCTAAAGTAAATTTTACAAACACACTCTATTTGAGAGGAAATAAGATGAGAAAAAAAAAAAGCTAAACAAAAAATTGACATCCATCTCATATTGGATTGTTTTGAAGAAAAAGAAACCTAGCTTGTCTAATCACTTGCTTAGCCTCCTCAAAGGTCACCTCTCTTCTGGGCTCATGTCTAAGTCTTGGTTTAACTCACTCTGGGAACAGTTTACAAAGCCGGGACCACTGTGGTCTCTCACTGGTGTTAATCTGGGAACTCGGAGGATACGTTTAGCCAAGGGATCTTTAATTTGCCCTCTTAGACCACTGTCTTTTTAGTGTCTGTAACTTGTTTGTATTACCATACTCCATAGATTATGTAAGACTCAGGGAAGAGGAACTTCCACTGAGAAAAATTGCTTCTGAAAATCCATCATTTTGTGAACATGTAGTATAAGCCTAACCTAGTCCAAGTTCCAGCAATTAATACGCTAAGGATTTTTATCATTACTGAGTTCACAATCGCCTGTCGTATTGCAATGAAATTTCCTGGTAATGAGATTTATCTACATACTTGAATGCACATTATTTAAAAAAACTGTGAGATAGCTTACAGGACCGGTGCCTGTTAACACTCTCTTGTCTTTTAAAAAAATGTGTAATCTTTAAATGTGACAGACATGGTTAGATACAGCAAAAATTCTTGTCACAATGTCTAAGTGAATAGAATAGAGCTTGCTATTTTCAGAAATACTGTACCTAATGTAAATAATGTCATTTAAAGATAAGTCATGTCTGACAGGGTTCATCAGCTCATGATTCTCCTGTAATATACTTGCAATTCAAATTGCAACGCTAGCCAGGATATATACAATTATAACTTAACCAGATGATCAGTGACGAAGCTTCAGTGAATTGATAACATGAATTTTTTTACCCAGAAAATAAACCACTAGTCAAACATCAACCGAAAACAATGTCCTGGTGACAGATGGCAACTGCTTTAATCGCACGTGTTTATTCTCATTAAATTAGGTCCTGTTAATTCTTAGTAATAATCTAAGTTTGAAACAGTTGAGGGGAGAAGGTTTGGAAAAAGCTTGTGTTTTACTTTAGAACTCCAACTTTCGCAGGAAGCCAGAGGCTAGCCATTTTGGTTCACATAATTATCGTCATCTTTGGACTTGTGGCTTTCACACTCTTCCTCTCTCTGTGTCTCTCTCTGGTCAAATTTAAAAATAGTAATAATAAATAAATCTTAAAAAAAAAAAAAAGCTGCCATGTCCATGCCCTTCCCAATTGTCCGGATCTTTGCTGGAATTCCAAGTAATATTTCAGTCTGTGCCACAGCAGAGACCCCTGCTCAGGAGATACGAGTATCCTCAAAACTGGCAAACAGAGAAAGCCTCAGACAGCATGCGTCGTGCAAATGCTTGTAAAGCCCACCAAAACGTTTCCACAAGTTCTTTCCTGTACTCCCCTCTCTCTCAGCCACAGAGAGAACATTGGGGAAGGATGATCCAAAAGATTTCCTGGGATTTTAACATCCCAAGTCCGAAACATTCCTCCGGCTCAAACAACAGAAGGGTTTCTCTCTCTTAGCCCAGCAGGTGTAGCAAACTAGACAACCATGCTCATGTCAGTATGTCCAAATGGCACCGTTCTCTTGTTTCATTGATATATGCTGTAGTCTAGGTCTGGAAAGATTTTAATCTTTGGTCAGTTTTTGTTGTTATAATGTGTTATAAATGTCACTGAAAACATTGGATGCACAATTCTATTTATTTTCGTGAATGTTCAAGACTTTACTGTAGTTCTCATGTGCCTGTCATGTGAAATTAAGCCTAGGGTTGCCTTCCTCTGTGTATCCTTAGCCAAACAGTGGCTTAATAAATGTGTTTTTAAAGTGTCCAGCTGACTCTATATGACTATAACTTACTGTTAGAAACCGTGGAGTCCAGGATAGCGTGACTCTTGTCATAGATTTAGTTCCATTTTGTCTTTTTAAGATTTAAAATTGGTATCCTACCCGTTAGGAAGTGTGTGTGGCCGTGGACTTTCTCGAGGTCCCCTGCATTGAAGGGGTTAAACAATTCCTGAAGTGTTAATGAGGGGACCCTGTGGTGGGCTGTGATCCTGAGCTCTCAGGACTTTGGTGGTGCTTCCAGTCTGTCCCCCACCCCCGGGAGCAGACATGCCTTCCACGATGCTGCTCTAACGTGTGCTCCAGAGACCAGGAGTTCTTTGGGTCAGGGGAAGGCCTCCTCTGTCTTGAAGACAGCAGCTGTTTCCTGGCCAGACAAATGCCGGTGCAAGGACCAGATTGTGTGTCCCCTACTCACTGCGATAAGGATGGCCTTAACTTTTCAGAAGTATGGGTTCCAGGAGCCACTTACATTTCAGGCTAAAATCGGAGCACCCATAAAGGTGGACACCTTTCAGTTGCTGATTAAACCACTTTAAAATAACCTCTCCCTCAGTAACACCATCGTTTCAGCTTAAAAAACAAACAAATAAATAAAACCACCACCACCACCACAACAAAAAAAGCAAAAACAATTACAGGGCCTGCAGATGGCACAGAGGTTAAGGTGGCTAGATCCCACATTGCCAACTACTTGGTGTGAGTCCGGGACTGGCAGCTAGAAATCATGCTGGGAACGTGTGCATGCATGTCCAAAATCCTGAGAGAAGAATGGAGGAGAAGGGCTTACGACCTGGTCATTCCCCCCGGGGGTGATTTCCTGCTCTCCCGCTCTAGCTCTCTGTCTCTCTCTGGCAAGCACACCCACCATATAAAGGCAAAGATCAACAACAACTAAGAAAACAAATCCAAGTATAAAGGACATAATAAAAGAATAAAAGACAATTGAAGTGTAAAAATTTAACATAGTCTACATACCACAAAATGATATGTTTGCTATTTATGTAATTAATCACAATTTAGAAGTAGCATCTAAATTCAAACACGATACTTGGCCATAATGAGCAATACATCGAAGTAATCCGAAAAGGCAAATCACGGGCTTTATCTCCACTGATTTGGCGAAGCCCTTTCCGGTATCTTCTGACACCTCTTGTCCCTCCTGTCAGCTCCGTGCCAGCCAGTCCCTGCCTTCCTGCAGGCCCGTCACACAGCAGATCCTGGACCCGACTCTGAGGTCAGGAGGAAGGAGGGCAGCAGGCCTTTCCAGTCACGTGGGTCTCCCATCCTGGGGTCAATCTACAAACGCTCATGGAGCCTCACTTCCTGACTCTGAACTCACAGTGAGCTCCTAATTTCCTAACCAGCTTCCTTCAAGGGACCATCTAATTAATTATAAATCAATACACGTTGCTTGAAGGATAGCTTGACAGTTTGAATGACATGCTTACAA